GAATTAAAATATTACAATTTGTTTTGAATATTTCGTTTTATTTTTAAGCGAAAATATTTTCTCTTCTGTCAGCGGAAACAATAGCAAACGAAGAGCTGAACGTAAAACGTTTGCTATCTTTTTCTAGCGCTTGTCTCTCTGAGAGCCGAGAGAGAGAGAGAGCTGAAAATGTGGATGGTCCCCAATACAACTGATGAGACCACCTTGTATAGTTCCATCATGGTCTCAGCCACACGCACCACTGCAAAGGAAAACGCTTGACGTGCGCTTTTAATATCTCGCTTCTTTGATCCTCTCTGACCAATTCTCTCAGTGCACTCTTTTTCTCACACGAGTATCGCAATAGAATAGACAGACGACAAGAACAACTGTAAATCGACTGGACATACCAAGTAAACAAACATTGCTTTTGTGATATATAAGGTGGTGTAGATTTACTAAAACATCTTACTGTTGGCATTCTTTGAACAATTTTATTTATTAGTAGTTTATTTTGTTATGAATAGATGCCGCAAAAAAGTTCATGTCTGTAACCAAACCATAATCTACATACAACTTTTTTTTTAAAAGCCCAAAGTGGCAGTAACTATAAAAATGTTAGAAAATTTAAACTTTGATTTTCTATATCTTCATGTATACTACTGGTCAAAATAATAAGTACATAGCTATATAGGTGCAACTGTAAATAAAGCTAAGGGTGTTCTAGCGTTTATAAAGCGTTGGTCCAAGGTGGTTGACGACCCGTATGTCACCAAAAATACTGTACGTCTCCTTGGTTCGTCCGATTCTGGAATATTGTTATTCTATGTGGAGTCCACAGTACAATGAGAAACAGCCCATTCTCGAATCGGTCCAAAAACAATTTTTAATTTTTTCCTTACGAAATTTTAGCTCTTATCAATCGAGGCTACAACTTTTATACCTCCCTTTAATGCGCCATCGCAGAATTTGTAACGAAGAATTTGACTCAGAATTACTTCTTGGCCGGCTTGACTTTTCTGTTCCTTTAGACCTACCCGTACCTTTCGTACGTTTCGTTTACCCTTCTGAAGGTCTAATTACGCTCGACACGACCCTTTCAGAATTTTAGGATCTATTTATAATAATCTTTATCATACCCTATCCCCTGAATTATAGCCAGTAAGATATACCTGTACCTACAATGCTCTAGTTTTTAATTATTTCTTGTATCCCCTTTTTTATACCCGTACTCAAAAAAGAGTTAAGGGGTATATTAGATTTGTGGTAAAAGTGGATGTGTGTAACGCAGAGAAGGAAACGTTTCCGACCCCATAAAGTATATATATTCTTGATCAGCATCAATAGCCGAGTCGATATAGCCATGTCTGTCTGTCCGAAATTAATTTTCAGTTGCTTCCCCTGCCCCCTCCAGCAAACGACAACGCAACTCATTTTCCTTCTCGCTCGCACACTCTGCCGCGTTCAGTGCGCGAGCAACCCCTAGCGGAGGAGATGTAAAATATAAATGGTACATGTAGAATCTACATGGTATATGTATAATCTACATGTTAGATGTATAATATACATAATATATGTAGATGTAGATAACAGATGTAACAAAAAAATGTAAAATGTAAAATTTTTTTTTTAATTCTAAAATTCTAAAAAATCATATGCTCAAAAATGTAAATACTGACTGAGTACGGGTATAAGTAGAGTCGCGTCTTTAGAAGCAACTCGCACGTTCCTTCTCGTTTCCTTTAATTTTAATCATAGTTTTTATTAGCAGTTAGTTGCTAATCTTCAATAAATAAATAAATAGAAAAAATCCAATTAACTTTTAGTTCACTAACCTACAGTATATTATAAGAATATTTAACATAATCATTTTTCGCTTCAAATATATAGCTTGTGATCGATTATATCTAAAAAACAGTAATAAGGGGCGGTCAAAATAATAAGTACAGCAAGTACTAAAGTGTGCCAACGCGACGTTGCAAGTTTCCACGTAGGTTGTACACTACTGGTCAAAAATAAATAGTACAGAGGTATCGTGCTAGTTTATTATTAAATATCTCTTATGTTTTTGAAATAATGGCTGACATCTGTTTATATTTTGAAAGTTTACCGTGTTGCAAATCATTTAAATTCAAAATGAGAGTGGGGAACCCCACCTATTGAATTCTAAGCACAAATTTGTGCTGGATGGGCATTTTTGGTCTGTTCAAAATAATAGGTACACTTGTGAAATTTTTAATTTTTTAAGGATTTTATCATGATTCGGACAGAGATTTGTGGTTTTTTATTGACTCCCCGCATATTTAAGTACATGACGTTAAAAAAAATCTTTAGATGGGCCGAAAAAAGCATTGTACTGAAGAAGAAAGAAGATTTCCATAAATCTTCAAAAAGAAGGGAAAAGTCTTCGGGATATTGCCAAAGTCTTGGACAACCGTTTTTTTTGTTCAGAAAGCCTTAAAATAAAATTCTTACAACCGATACCTTAAACGACGCCTAATTAATGCGTCTATCTACAACTTAAAATGTTGGCAAAGAACTTTTCCTGCCTTTTTAAAGTCAAAATGTCGTAAAAAATATCGCAAAAAGTCGTAGATTTTTGGATTTGAAAGCTTAATATTTCCCAGACGGTTCTAAAACCACTAAGTGCTTGGGTATAGCTGCATTTCTAGCTGCATTTTCAGAATGGCAAAGTTCTTTGCAACCAAATGTAAGTTAATTAAATTTAAAAAAAGAAGCGCTACCTCTGAAAAAAGCTTTAAAAAAATACAAGCTTTCAAAAATTCCTTAAAAAAAGTTCTGGCATAAAAAAAACCATAATTATTTAAAAAAAAATTTAAAGCTTAAAGCTTTATAACAAAGAGCATTTATATCCAGTTTTTTCCTTCGTCTCGCACTCGCCAATTGCGTAGGTGCACGTTTCGGTTGCCATTACCTCAATTCGGCAATAGCCAGGCGCATAGTTGGAGAGCTGGACGAACTCAATGAATTATTGAAATTATTCATAAAACAATAATGTATGTCTTTTATGAGATTTATTACAAAATTACACGTATTCAGTCAAACAAAATACTGGATGTATTCAGTTGAATGGCAAAACCGAGGATTACCTCACACATTTTAATGTGGACATCGATAGTCTAATATCCACGGAAATTTTAGATCTGTCTGCTTATCAACTACGTTTCGATATAATTACCACAAACATGATTCATGGCCCATGCGGTAATATAAATCGCTTATCGCCTTGCATAAAAGATGGAAAATTTACAAAGCGTTTTCCAAAATATGTAACCAATGAGACGATCACAAACGTCTATAAATATATAATCAATCATTCATGATAAAAATCAACAACGTTGACATTTGATATTGACAATCGATGGGTAGTACCATGTTCTCCTCTGCTGAGCAAAACATTCACATTGATGTTGAGTTTTGCAGTTTAGTGTAAATGCACTTGGTTAAATGGAAACAATACGAGATTATGTTTTTTTTATTGAAATGAATGAAATGATGCAAATAAAAAACAAAAATAAGGTAAATGTTCGATATATGCTCCTAAAATGGCGAAAAAATATCCTCGATGGACCGCGAGATATCAAGAATTTACGTACAGATTTACTTTCACATTCTGTGAATCTAATATCTGTGACGCAAACCTATGTAGTCCGGCAAAAAATATAAAAATAGTTTCTTAATAAAGATTATAAAATGATATAAAAGACTTGGTGGTTGGCGAACGAGCGAAGCGAGTATGCAGGGGGCTTTCCCCCTAGTATTCATATACAATTATGCAATGTTTAAAAAATACATATTCTTTCACTCCTCTATTTAATTTTTTTCTGATGACAAATACTGTGTCTTTTATACCTCGCTCACTTTAACCTGAAATACTAAATCTACCCTTAATATGTTTACAAAATACATATTCTTTCACTCCTCTATTTAATTTTTTTCTGATGACAAATACTGTGTCTTTTATACCTCGCTCACTTTAACCTGAAATACTAAATCTACCCTTAATATTTTTTATACACAAGTCAACAGCCAAACAAAAACTCTGTCAACAGATCTATTTTTATACCCGATGCTCGATGAGTTAAGGGATACATTCAATTTTGGCCAAAGTGGATGTGTGTAAAACGTAGATCCCAAAAAGTTTATATATTCTTGATCAGCATCAATAGCCGAGTCTATAAAGCATGTCTATCTGTCCGTACGTCTGTCCGTCTTGTTGAGCGCCAAGATCTCAGAGACTATAAGAGCTAGGGCAACCAAATTTGGTTTCCAGACTCATGTGATATCACACTGCTACAAGTGTATTTCAAAATTTCGCCGCGCCCCCTTCCGCCCCCACAAAAGACGAAAATCTGTGGCAGGCACAATTTTAAAGATACGATAAAACTAAAAACACAGTATCGTAGAAAATGACCATATCTACCAGATTGCCGAATCAGATCGGATCATAATTATAGCCAGAATGAAGAAATTCATTTTCAGTTGCTTCCTGTGCCTCCCCCTGCCAGAGAAACGCTATTTATTCTCTGTCTCTCTCGCACACTCTGCCGCGTTCAGTGCGCGAACAAAGGAGATGTAGAACCTAAATGGTTAATGTAGAATGTACATGTAAAATGTATAATATACATTTTAGATGTAGATGTAGATAACCGATGTAGTAAACAAATGTAAAATGTAAATTTTTTTTTTAATTTTAAAATTCTAAGAAATCATAAGCTCAAAAATGTATATACTGACTGAGTACGGGTATAAGTAGAGTCGCGTCCCCAGAAACGACTCACACGTTCCTTCTCGTTTGGCTTATTTTTTTTTTTTTAGTTGAATTTGAATTATTTTTTTTGCTCAGTAATATATGTGTAACAATTGATCAAGATTGATTAGATCGCTTTCAACGTATATAATCGTATATGCCTTCGATTTTCATAAAAAAAACGGCGTTAGATTTCTAACTGGTTATAAGTCTGTTCTAATATGATTTTTTTTTTATTGATTTTATATAGCTGTGTGCTAAGACAACTATATCTGCCTCAGAGGGATTTCAACACAATCGAATGTGGCTCAATGATGAGGAACTGCCTTTCGAAGAGGACTCACGCCTTATGCGCTGTTTAAAAGGAGGTGAGTTTTTAATATAAAATTTACATTTCTTATTTTTCCACTCCTTTATATTTTTAGTTCAACGTCTGGCCCTTATGAATGGTTCTCAAAAAGTTTCACTATCTTGGAAGGTACATATTGCATCGTGCAACAATTTTCCTACCGCTGCTGGTCTTGCATCAAGCGCAGCTGGTTACGCTTGCCTGGTATTTTCCCTGGCACGTTTATATGGCATTCCCCTTAATGAAGAACTGACGACTATAGCACGACAAGGTAGTGGTTCTGCATGTCGTAGTTTGTTTGGTGGTTTTGTTCAATGGCATCGTGGGGTTCTTGATGATGGTAGAGACTCTGTCGCTAAACCAATTGTATCAGCCCAGCATTGGCCTAATATGCATGTACTTATTTTAGTCGTAAACGATGAAAGAAAAAAAACAAGCTCTACTAATGGTATGCAACGTTCTGTGACTACATCACAGTTAATTCAGCATCGAGTTGATAAAATAGTTCCCGAAAGGACGGAGAATTTGAAAAAGGCCATAGAAGCTCGTGATTTTCAATCATTTGCTGAGATAACGATGAAAGACTCAAATCAGTTTCATGCCATCGCCTTGGACACATATCCACCATGCGTGTATATGAACGATGTGTCTCATGCTATAGCTAGTTTTGTACATACATACAATAAAACAATGGGTACGGTTCATGCAGCGTACACGTTTGATGCTGGTCCAAACGCATGTATTTATGTATTAAAGGAAAATGTAGCCAAGTTACTAGCAGCAGTTCAAAAAGAGTTCCCAAATGACTCAATTGACAGTTCACAATACTTACGGGGTCTTCCGGTATCAATAGATTCCCCAGAATCTAATATAGAAAAATATGCGAATAGTGCGACCGACAATCCAATCAATACAGCTGCAGTACACCGAAAAGCTATTGGAATGTTAAATATTCAACCCAAGAGCTTACTGAAGTATATAATCCACACAAAAGTTGGAGATGGACCCTGTCAATTGAGTGACGATAACAGTTTATTGATAAATGGGCTCCCATTGTCCCACTAATTGGTAATCGCGACATTCGCAACATTATCTTTTTTTATATTTTCACCACTGCTGTCGACTCTAAAAATGCTTTCTCAATATATTTCCTTGACGAAACAGTTTCCAGTTCGTGCTAGCCCGTTCCGTTGAGCAAAGCAGTCAAGCCCTGCACTGTTAGAATTGGACCTCCGCAATATTTTACTCTAATCTCCTTAAAGATAGGACATGTCGCCAGGAAATGCATTGTGTCCCCAGTTGCGTGCATATTGCACAGCGTGCACTTTGCTGCAGCGAGACTTCTATACAGGGATGCATTAAGTGGTACCGTTTCCGTGTGTACTCTGAAAATAAGTGCTATTTAATTTTCAAGGTTATGGACGAGGCTCCTGCTCTTAGAATTAACGCTCATAAAATTAAGCATATTATATTTGTCGGTCTTGGATACTTTTTTGGGATTCTTGTTAAACTTATAAACTTACATTGTGTATTTAGTTATCGAATAATAAATAACCATTTGCAATTCCGAAATCTTTCTAAATATTTTTTTTTTTTCCATACGCCTTTGTGAGAACCTATCTTAGGTTAAGGTAGGCTCAGTCCATCCAGGATTCTTCTACAAGAAATTTGTATATTTGCTGGGAACTTTAAGTGTAGGCTGGCCGTTGGACCGAAGTGTGGAGAGGGGCTAAGTCGGTGGGGTACTGTAGAAGCAATTGCTCGGGAGAAAATGATGACGCAAGTGGGTTGGTTTTGGTTCTTCAGTTTGCTTATTGAATTCAGATTTATTGATGGTTTGTTTTGTTCACGTTATTGGGGATTGCGTTTCCGTGTCTCGTGGTGATCGGTGAGAATGAGTTTTGCGGCCCGCGGCGGGCAGTCGCTACTGTCCGAGTAACACCCGAGTCTTCTTATTACTAGGCGTGCCTATGATTATTTGTGTGGGGTTAGTGGGACGGACTTTGTGCTTCGTCGACGATCTGACGGTGGGTGGGTATATTAGGGCTTGGTTTGGTGTCGCTGATTTTGCATCCCTGCGATCAGTGCTTGTGTTTGTTTACTAACCTGTCAGTGGGTCAGTGGCCTAGCGATCGGTGTTTGCTGAGATATGTTTGCCGAGTTCGGTGTGTTCATGTGGGTCGTGTGGGATTGCTAATCACGCGGCACATGCCAAAATGAGGTGGACCGAGGGTTCTTATCACTTTTCTGGTAGAGACTTATGCTAGATATACAATGGTTCTAAAGTTAGGGAAGTGGTGTTTAGTATGAACTAAGGAATGTAGCGATCCATGGTTCCAATGGATCGTTACAGCTTTCAATAAGCTGGGCTCTGGTCCCAGTTTGTTAGTTGGGTACATAACTAACCATAGTTTGAGTTCTTAATAAATGCCCTAATCTACCTTGATCTAACATCTAATCGATACAAATTGGAGCAATTGTTGTGTTCGTTTGTTTTTTAACTCCTAAAGACGCAGGGAAACGTCTTTAACACAATTCAAAAATTTAGCTTGAGGACTTTAAAAATGGCCTCTCCCTGTTTTTTACTTTGAAACATTTACCATTTTAAAGTTTACGGGTTTAAATAGCTCCAATCTCGCTCCTCGGAGCGTGATTTATACCGTTTTCTATGCGAGGTTGCGTCAGAAAAATTGATCTAAAAGCCAAACAACTCAAAAGAGCAAAAAGGGCGTTTAAACTAAAGTAAAAGAATATACAAAGAGAATTAAAAAAAATGTTCTTGAAAATTTAGGGATATATATTTTTAATATCAAGTTAAAGTTGAAAAACAACAAAACATTAGGTCAATATACTGATTTCATATATTTTATCCATTAGACATGTGATATCTAATAAAAATAGTTCTTCCATAGAAATTTTAAGTTCATAACAAGGTAGATGAATATTTGAAACTATTTTTTAAATAAGTTATAAGTTTTTGAAATTTTTTTTAAATTTATATGAGATTATTTAGTGTAGCAAAAATGATCATTTAACCTTCTTTAACAAAGTTGAACATTAAATGCACCGCAAACAGGCAAATATGAACCGGAATCAAAGTTCAAATTTTACTTGTAAAGCTTCTAGACATTGTAGCACCATGTACTCTTGCAGACTATATTTTAAAAATGTTTCTTTCAAACGCAGTTACTTCATGAAGAACTTATTCAGTAACCGGGGATGAGTCTAAGGACTCTCTTACCCGTACTAAGTCAGTATTTACATTTTTGAACAATTGATTTTTTAGAATTTTAGAATTAAAAAAAAACAATTTTACATTTTAAATTTTTTTCCTACATCTGTTATCTACATCTACATATATTATGTATATTCTACATCTAACATGTAGATTAGACATGTACCATTTAGATTCTACATCTCCTCCGCTAGGGGTTGCTCGCGCACTGGACGCGGCAGAGTGTGCGAGTGAGAAAGAGAATGAGTAGGCTGGTCGTCGGCAGGAGGGGGCGGGGGAGCCAACAGAAAATTAATTTCTTCATTCTGCCTATAATTATGATCCGATCTGATTCAGATTCGGCAATCTGGTACATATGGTCATTCTCTACGATACTGCGTTTTATCGTATCTTTAAAAATGTGCCTGCCACAGATTTTCGTCCTTTGGGGCGGCGGAAGGGGGCGGGGCAAAATTTTGAAATACACTTGTAGCAGTGGGATATCACATGAGTCTGGAAACCAAATTTGGTGGCCCTAGCTCTTATAGTCTCTAAGACCAAGGCGCTCATCGAGACAGACAGACAGACAGACAGACATACAGACAGACAGACATGGCTACATCGACTCGACTGCATAACTTCTCAAGGCAGTCCAGACGAAGGTGGGCAATATCGCTGAGGTCAAGGCTATCTCCGAGAAGGTTCTGATTGAGGTCAGGGACATATCGGAGTGGACAACGCCGGAAGAAGTGCTCGAAGCCATCTTCGCTAAGATAGACGGAGACTTGCCGACCGAGTCAGTCCCGAAACTCCGGAAAGCATACCGTGGAACGCTGACGGCGAACATCCTTCTACCCAGAGAAACAGCGGACAAGCTGCTTCATGAGGGAAAAGTTCGCATTGGATGGTCGGTATGCCGAGTCCGGCAGAAGAACGAACCCAGGAGGTGCTTCAAGTGCCTAGCATTTGGACATATCGCGGCAAGATGCAGGAGTAGCCACGACGAAACAAGCAAATGCTTTAATTGTGGAGGTACGCAGCACAACTCGAGGGACTGCAAACAGACGCCCGCCTGCATCTTATGCACAAGAGCAGGCCTAGAAGACACGGCACATGGCACCCTCAGTAGGGCATGCCCTGTATATGTCAAGGCAGCAAATACACACACTAATGGGCAAAATTAAGTTCCTGCAGCTTAATTTGAACCACTGCAGAGCGGCACAGGACCTGCTCATGCAGACAGTGAGAAAAGAGGACGTCGACGTCGCCATCTTGAGTGAGCCACACCTAGCGATGCAACCAGACGTATGGATACAGAATACAAACTCAAATTATGGAGCAGCTATCTGGAGCTGTGGAACCTCGCCACAAGGCTTAAGCGCCCGTCATACGTCAGTGGGGTACGTCAGAGCAAAGAGCAAAGCCCCGAGCATAAAACTGGAAGAGTACGCCAACATACTCGAAGACCTTGCGGAAGATGCACGCAGTTGTTCCCCAGTGATCATTGTTGGCGATTTCAACGCATGGGCGACCGAGTGGGGAAGCACAAGGACTAACGCACGCGGAAGCGTCCTACTCGACGTGTTCGCGACCCTGAGCGTGGTGCTCCTGAATAAAGGAAGTACACAAACATACGCAAAGGGTGACCGTAGATCGGTAATCACCGTCGCATTTGCCAGCCCCCAACTGGCGCGGAGTGCCACCTGGAAAGTCGCAAGTGTATATACGCATAGTGACCACCGGGCCATAACGTGCTGTATCGACGACGGACCCACCAGACGGACCACAAACATAAGGCGCACAGCGTGGAAAACGGAGGACATGGACACCTAGTGCCTGCTCCTCATGTTCCGGCTAAGCAGCGAAAGTATACACGGAAATGCAGAACAGCAGGCTAAATCGCTAGGTACAGCAATGGAAATTGCCTGCGAAGCCGCCATGGTAAAAAAGCAAATGGGAGGAAGGAAGCGAAAGCCAGTGCACTGGTGGTCGCAGGAAATAGCGGATCTGTGGAGAGGGAGCCACGCAGCAAGATGCTGCTACCAGAGGACTATGAAAAGGGCAAGGCGGAGACCACAAGACCCCCAAGCAGCCCAGGAAGCGGCAGAAGCGCACTCCACCTACCACCAACAACGGGCACATCTCAACAAGGTGATCAAACGCAGCAAAGCAAACTGCTGGAAGGACTTCTGCAAGGAGGCAGACCTGCAGCCCTTTGGCCTAGCCTACAAGATGGTGATGGGCAAGCTGGCGCGCAAGGTAATGCCCTCCTGTCCGGAATTATTGTCCAGGATCGTGGTACACTGTTCCCCACACAACAGGAACTAGCCTACGTGCCCAGACACCGGGAGATCCCCACACCCCCACAGATCGGTACGTATGAGCTCCTAAATGCGGCTAAGAGCATGAAGACCGGCAAAGCGCCAGGGCCCGACGGTATACCCGCCATAGCAGTCCGGACGATAGCCACAACATACCCGGAAGCGATAGCGAAGACGTTTAACCAATGCCTGCAGGAGCAAGTCTTCCCCACGGGCTGGAAGCTCCAGAGGCTCGTGCTCCTACCAAAGACTGGGAAGGACCCCGAAGACCCGGCTGGATACAGGCCTCTGTGCATGATCAGCGTAACGGGGAAGCTGTTCGAGCGAATCATCGCGAATCGGATAGAAGCGGAAATTGACAGCCTACAGGGACTATCCGATCTCCAATTCGGCTTTAGGAAGAGGAGAAGCCCCACCTACGCGATCAGAGCAGTGGTGGGTAAAGCCCGCGAAGCCATAGCTGGGAAGAGATGGCACGGTGGCACCAAGAAGTACTGCCTGGTAACTACACTAGATGTAAAAAATGCCTTTAACTCTGCAAGGAGGCCAAGCATCATCGCCGACCTCTCCAGAATTGGTGTATCTGAGTACCTATTTTAAAAACAGAGTGTTGCCGTTCGACACGTCGACGGGACAAAAACGACGGCAAGTTACAGGAGGCGTTCCACAGGGGTCTGTTCTCGGCCCGCTTCTGTGGAACGTCATGTACGATGGCATCCTACGGCTGGACACACCAACCGGCTGCAGCATCGTTGGCTTCGCAGACGACATCGCGGTAGTAGCGGTACATAAAACCCTTTTAGAAGTAGAGGAGAACACGAACGAGACAGTCAGACGAGTGATGTGCTGGCTCCAGGAAAACGGCCTCAGCCTAGCAGCGCACAAAACCGAATCGGTCCTGATTAGCACCCGGAAAAAGGTAGAGACAGCCAGAGTGGTCGTTGGAACAGACGAAATCGAGTCGTCCCCGGCTATCAAGTACCTGGGAGTCCTTCTGGACCACAGGCTTAGCTTCAAGCAGCACCTAGAAGCAACCGGAGTCAAAGC